CACGTCTTTTCCAAAGCTTTTGTCTTCTACTGTTGAAACCAATAGATCAATGAACTGATGGTTTTTCATCTCTTCTCTTGGATTTTTGCACCCCTTTTTCCAGTTCTCCTCATATTTCTAATGTTTTTCCATTCAATTTCAACCTCTCCCCCCATCTTTCTCTCTCTGGAAAATAATTCTCTCTCTCTAAATATCCTAATTTAAGCATCCCCTACCTAATTCAATTGTTTTTATTCTAATTTAAACATAATTCAATGATTAAGACATTCAAAACGACCTAGATCTGTTTATGATGAATCTCTCACACTTTCTTTCTAAAACCTTATTTTGTTTTTGATTTTCTGAAAGTTACAAAACCCATCAAGCCAAAATATATATTATGAAATGGGTTTAAGCGTTTAATCCACATCTCTCTAGTTAATTCGATCTGAATCTGTCTTTTTTAATCTATCAAAAATACAAAATTTTAGGGATCAGGCCACACCCACAGCCACGGTGGGAGTGCAGCTGATTACARGGTTGAATTGGGCTCATCGTCAAAATGCAACAACAAGATGAAGATGAGAGCAACAATTAAAAACCCTACAAYTGATCCTGATCAAAGGGTCATCAACCGACGTAAGTTATATAATTCGATATGATATCAGAGTCCAACAAACAATCGGTCCAAAAAAAGATGCAAGATTATATTATGAAGATGCATAATAAAAGACGTAACAAAAGTTTATAATATAYATGAGATATTCCTCTTCTAGCTCATTAATTAATTTTGAAAGAAACCTATCCATATTAATATATACATATATATAAATTAAAAAAGATTTGATTTAATTTAATTTGTCACCTGAGTTGTTATTTTCTTTTTTCAGCTCCCGAGAAGAGGCAGAGAGTACCTTCTGCATATAACCAGTTTATAAAGTAAGGAAAAAAAATTAAATATGGATTTTGGTTTCTCTCTCTCTTTCCCTCTGTTTTATTTATTTATTCAAGATAATAAAAAAATGAAAAAAGAAAAAATATTTTTCATGGGTCATTTCTCCTTTTGCGTTTGAAACCTGACAAAATTACCTAAAATTCAGAGAGGAAATCCAGAGGATCAAAGCAAAAAATCCAGATATTACCCACAGGGAAGCATTCAGTACTGCTGCTAAAAATGTAAGTACAACACATTTAATTTCTCTTTTTCATACCAATTTTTATTTTTTTTTTAACTATKGTTTATTACAAAGGGATTCTCAATTTCGTTTGTATCACAGAAAATATTACAATCTTTTGGGTATTCTATTGACTTCTTGCTAATTTTCTTTCTGCAATTGGCAGTGGGCACATTTCCCACATATTCATTTTGGCCTCATGCTTGAAACCAACAATCTGCAGACCAAAAATGATGTAAGTATAAATGGTAATTATATCCACCATTTTAAAAAATACCTACTTTTGATTATCATTTATTTCCATTTGTTCGGTTTTCTGCAAATTTCTAAACCTACAAGTAATGTTAAGATATTCAATAAGGGAATTAAACTTTGTCTATGATTAGTTTCAGAGGCCTATCTATTTAGGAATTCTTCGCAAGAATACGAGTAAACACAATGGTTGTCAGAAAGGGCTTTATGAAAAGGGTTTATTATTTTGAATGGTTGAAGCATTTAATTGATTTTTTATTTGGTTTTTATTAATTGCTTGACAGGGATCTGAGAAGCATCTGATGTCAGTGCCAGGGCTGCACTATTGATTATATATATATATATATATATATATTGTGAAGAAATGATGATCATCTTGACTTCAAGATTTGATCTCAAAGCCAAAACAAGAACCTTCTAGAGATATGATCACTTGAAAATGGTATTTTTCAAGGGAAAAAAAATTAACAGCATATGTTTTCCTTTCATTTTCCTTTGCTTTCTATGTTTAATTGCAATTAGTTTATTAAATTATTAAGGGAATGTTTGTCTGAATGAATGAACTAAATCTGCCTTTTATTTCTTCCCTATGTAATGTGTCTGATATCTTTGATATGTATGTATCCCCCATTTCAATGGGGAAGTAAGTTTAATTAATAGAATATCTCTGTTCAATAATATGCTGTTCTCTATATCCCTTTCATTACAAAATATGATTAATGATTCAAAAATGAAAATTGGAAGAAAAATCAAACTCAACTGTTCTATTGGGAATGTTCCAAATGATTAACTCGAAATCAAATCCCATCTGTATAGCTAAATACAAAAGTGACCGTGTGATCAAGGTTCCAGGTTCAATTCCACACCCTAAATTTATTAAACTAAAAGAGCTAATTATTAATTACTTTATGGGAGTCGGGGTAATTTTTTTATTAGATATATGAAGCTTCATCACGTTAAAAAACTAAAACAAGCACTATTAATCGAATGAAACATTAAGCCAACCCTTTGGAAAAATCGTTTGAATACAATTTGAAATAATTTTTCTTATTGTTATTAAAAGTCAAATTTGTCAAAAAACTATACGAGCTAGAGATCATATACAAGTAATCAAAATTATTTCCCTTTGTCAACCAAAAACTTTGATTTTTATGGGAAAAGGCCAGGTGGGCTTATTGGGGTAAGGGTTAATAATTAGAAAGGGGTAAAAAGGAGAGGGTATGATGATATTATTGCATATATAACAAAAATATGCATAAGCACTGCTCCCATGGTCAGTTTTATCTTTTGCCTTTGTATGCTTTTCATGCAATGAGGGAAGCCAAAATAGGCACACATATATAGATTTTGAATCATTCTGATGTTCCTATCGAAATCGATACCATATCACGTGGTAAAGAAGACTAATGTCGATGTAGATAGAAAGATTGAGGTCTCAATTTTATCAAAATATCGATAGATAATTCTGAAAAATTATAAAAATGAGAAAAAAAATTCAATGTTTGATATAAGTTAAAAACTTTTCTTATTAATATTATAGACACGGTAGTGATATTTTGACTGTTTTGCTAGTTGCCAAATAAGTATAAATATAATGGAATAAAAAAAGAAAAATATTTAGCTCCTTACCAATGAGAACCAATCTTGTCCTCACTGTCATTTTTTAGTACAATATGTTGGAATGAGGGATCAAATTGAGATATATGTCAATAATTACCGTTGAGCTAGGTTCACTTTGGCCTTCTCCTCACTGCCATTAATTAATGTTTTAAAAAAATAAATTAATAACGAGTTATCAAACTTTAATAGCAGTAGAAACAAGATTTTGTCCTCGAACTAAGTATTTTTCATAAATAAATTAGTGCATACAAATTTAGATATGCAATATATTCAAAATTAATTGTGCCACATTTTTTAGATGAGAGAGGTTTCTCCCCTTTTCTAGCCAAACCCATATATTATTGTTGGTTTTGAGGTTTTTTTTTCGCGGACTCTTACTCCCAACCAAGAGTAGTTTCTTAAATAATTATTACCATTCAAATAAGATTCAAACTTAAAGAATAATTATTTAATACGATTTTTTCCCACACTTTTTTATATCAAATAAAAGAATACAATATATTTCAATGTCTTCAAAAAGTTCTAACTGATTGATGGGAGAACGACATAAAGTATAAAGTATAGTACCACAATTATTGGTTGCAACAATTCTAAACACATTACGACGTTGTTCATACAATTTTATGGTAAAATACACAACCCAAACATTGTATACTACTGATTTTTAATTGTTTTTTCATAATGGAATAATTAATGTTCTATGCATTTGATCTCCAATCAGCAAACAAGTGGGACTTTAGCAGCAGCATCATATCCTTCATTAAGTTTTCTTGACAATCCATTTTTCTTTTTTCTTGGAATCCAAACAATGAATAATTGAAGGAATCCCCACAGGGAACCAGTGGATGGAAATGCATTTTGTATTATTGTTTTTTTTTCAATAAGCATCTCCATTAATTCAATCCAAGGGGAATGAAACTCAAAAGAAACTAAATTGAACCCAAAAGAAAAAATAGAAAGAAGAAAAAACTTTAGTATGCATTAAGCCATCACTAGCTACATTCTATACCTTGTCCAAAGAATCAATGTCTTCCAAAAATGGAACATCTCCATGTTCTCAATTCTCGTCTCTCAATAACGGTTTGATCGATCAAATTCACCTAACACATATATATTCAGTGTACATAAATTTCGTTGTTTATAAAATTTATTCTATGTACTTATAAAAGTTTCAATTTTGATCGCTTGGTACTTCAACGGTTAATCTCTGGTAGGATCCTTTGTTGTAATTAAACTAGTTGTGTTGCAATATATAAATATATATATGAAAAGTTGACATGACATTGATGTTGTTGATATGTTTTAACACTATTAAATCAAAATATAGGAATGAAATTGAAAATTTTGAGAGTATATGAACAAAAGTGACACAAACGTAAAGGAAAAGGAAGGAAAGATATAGTTTAACTTAAATTTTGACAGTCAAACATGAGCTTTCTTACTCAGTACTACGAAACACGTCATGTTCTTATCGAAAGGAACAATTCCTATCCTTCGAGGATTAGATAGAGTGATCGAGAAGATGAATAGGAAATGCAGGGAGAGTCGTTTTTCCAATGGAATAACAAGTGGGCTATGAGCTAGAACTTTCTTTTAGAGTTGCTCATCAAATGAAGCAAAGCATCACTATCTTTGTTCACAAAAACTTGAGCAAGAAAATGAAATTTGTAAGATTGATGGGGAAAAGGGAGAGAAAGGTGTTTTCTTTTTCCTTTCAAAAGCCAAAATCCCGGAAAAAAGATTGTGTTTTTTTTCTGGCCAACCAAACACAATATTGGACTGTAACTCATAATTAACTATGACCTATGTGAAAAGGATTTTTTTTTTTTTTTGGCTAAGAGGAAAAAAAGAGTTCTTCCCAATTGGACCACAATCTTCATCTTGGGGCACCTGGAATTCCATTTTCATTTGCCAGAGAATCACCATTATTAAAGGCAAAGGGTCATATATATTATGCCTTTTGCAGATTGTATCAAATTTTATTCTAAGTGTATATATTTTTTTGTTAAATTTTTGTGTATATATATATGTGTAAAGTTTGAATTATACCAGCTTAATTGGACTAAAAACTTCCCTACCATTCTTTTTATATATATATTTTGAAAAAGAGAACCATTTCATTAGTAGTACTGAGTAAAACACAAAAAGGAGGTTTTAGAGAAAAGTTCTCCAGTTAAAAGAAATCATAAATTACCAAAATTTTTATATTATTAAAGCTGTGGATTAGGGTTAGCCAAAATTAATTTTAACTTTGGAAATTAATATGTATATGAGCGATGTAGGTATTTGAAACTAAGATCATATGTTTGCTATTAAGTCGATGATAGTTTAACTAGTTAAGACATTTGTCTATGATTAAAAGGATAATAAGTTCGAACCTCCACACCTACATATTGTACTAAAAGAAATCGTATGTTTGTTTTTTTGGTGGCTAATAACTTTCCGAGAGTTAAAATATAAAATCAAAGGTATCTTTATGACCTAAAATTGAGTATGAAAGAGAGAAGTTAGTCAATTTCAAATTCTAGAACGAAAATCACATTTTCTTAAAGGAATTTGAATTTGTTGTCATATATAACATTCAAATTAATAATATATAACTATGTTCAATTCCTCTACCTAAATGTAAGGAAAAATTAAAACATTTGATCTATTTATCCATCAATTTTTTTTACATATATAATTGCATTAAAAAAAAATGGTTTGGTTTGAAAACTATACTTTCTTTAACTAAAATTATTTGGTCAAACTTGTCTTGAAATGAATAACCTTCTTTAAAATTATGATTTCTGTGAATATTTATTTTAATATATAGAATAGATTTTTTTAGTACAATACGGAGGATCGAACTCACAACTTCTGAGTTAGAGATATATGTCAATTATCGCTGAACTATGGTCGCTTTGACAAATAAAATTAATACTTAAGAGTCATATGGAAGTAATTAGAATGGAAAAGATAAGGGAAAGGGAATAAGAGATATTTGTGTTTGAATTGTTTTTGGTATTTAGAAGTAGAGTCTTTGAACAAACCTTCATTAACATTTTGAACAAAAATTGTCGGCAAAATTTGGAATTAATGTGGCAATTAGCATCCCAATTTTACTCGATCAAGTTTTCTTCCCTCCATTGTCAAGAGAGTTTTTCCTTCTCTATTGTCTACCTAATTTTATCATAATCCCCCTTTTCAAAAAACAATATCTTCTCCCACATCTCCTCTTTTATTATACTTAATTCAAGAAAGCTTCCACGTTAATTGTCACATCGTTCCAGATTCTACTACCTCAAATTTTCATTCAAATTATTAACCGATATAACTTGCTCAAATGGCATTTTGAGACGTGTGTGACAGATCAAATACTATTCAAAACTTTGAAATGATAAAAGGTATTTTTTAAAGAAAAGATTCATGGTTTTGGGTAATTTAAATATATAGATAGTTGGAAAGAAAGAAATAAAGGAAGAAATTGGATGGTGTGAGATGTGTGGTGAATTGTTCAGTCTGATCATAAAACATGTTCTGACACTTAGAATCTGAAACGTCAAATTCAATCCTCTTTCGCATTCATTTCACTTCTCTGTCATTTCCATCTCTCACTTTCCCATACCTCATCTCTCTCTCTCTCTCGCTGTATATATTAAATATATAATATATAAATATATATTTATATATACTTCTCTCATAATGTATATAATGTGTTCATGTGGGTTCTTTAAAAACGAAATAAAACTATTTATTCTTAAAGTGTTTGAATATATGAATGGGAGTTGAATTGAGTTTCCATCATGATTAGGGTTGGGGGAAGTTGAAATGTGTTTATGTGGGTTGGTTTTTCTTTGAAAAGGAAATAATTATATTTTTGTTTTTAGTGTTATTTTAATATTTTCTTCGCAATCGATCAGGTTTATAGGAAAAAAAATTTTATAACTTAAACTTAAAAAGAAAGTAATCTAAAAGGAGAAACAACTCT